GTATGAAATCTACAGGCCATAAGAAACGTAAGTATTCGAAAATTTTAAATGAAAAAACAAATTGTTAATTGAGAGAGACAGTTGAGATGAGATGAAGATGAAACATAGAGATGAGACTCAAAACAGATGCTTGTAGTTTCAAATTGTGAAACTGAAATCAAATATAGAGGAAAAAAAAATGATGAGGTTGGACAGAAACAAATATTTTGTCCACAAAATCCACATATTTTTCACTCCACACAGAAATCTACAGGCATAAGAAACATAAGTATTGAAAATTTTAAAATGAAAATAACAAATTGTAATTGAGAGAGACAGTTGAGATGAGATGAAATGAACATAGAGATGAGACTCAAACAGATGCTGTAGTTTCAAATTGTGAAACTGAAATCAAAATATAGAAGGAAAAAAATGATGAGGTATGGACAAAAACAATATATTCTGTCCACAAAATCACAGTTACAAATCAGTTAACAGACTACCTGATTATTAACAAAAGAATATTATATATATCTACCTGATTAAAGTCTCCAGTGTGGTAAAGCACAACAGCTAATAGACTATACGCACTCGCAGTCGTACGATGATAGGGACCACAGATAGCTATCATCTTTGCCAATGCCTTCAGAATCAAGTAATACAAAAAATTGTGATTGATTTTTGTACCCGTTAAGAATAGAATTAAACAGCTTACTATAGACAGGATGGCTTTGGTACCTTCGTTCCATAGTTGACAGCATCTTCTAGCTTTCCTTTATCGAGTGCCATCTTTGATGACTCCAATAGGGTCCGCCCATCTGCAGAAGAGCATCCTACATGCTGTGTAGCATATGGTTCAAACATCTTGGTTATTGCAAAGCACGTCACACTAAATTTAGATTGTAAAACTTTCAAATCAAATGCAATTTGTGTGAATGTGTGCAAGTGAGAGGGAGAGAGAGAGAGAGAGAGAGAGAGAGAGAGACCCTTACTTTACACACAGGAACAATGCCGATAATATCAGATTTCTTGAAAGGGCTTGGGCTTTCCATATCATAGTCCTTCGAAAGCAACTCCAATCCAACCTGGATATTTATAAAAAAAAACAAACGAAAAAAGAAACATTAGAATCTCATTCTAATGAAACCATGACCGAAGGCAATAAAAGGAGATGGTACCTTGTGGCAAAGTCCTCGAAGAATTGTTAATTTCCTCAATTGTTGAAACTCATCTTTTAGAGTCCAGCCATATCTTTTAGCTAGAAAAGTTCGTAAGCACTGCAATTTGAGCATGTGATCACCACTCAAGTTATGTTCACTATCTTCTATTGTGTAGCCCCCAAGCAAGAAATTCAAGCATGAAGCTACTGATGTGGATAAGTCTACCACATTATTAATAGAAGCAATAACGGCTTTAAGGACATGCTTGAAAGCTCGAGTGACCATTTCGTGAATACAAAGTGACTGTATATGAGGAAGCTTCTCTGCAAGTTTAACCTAGTTTTCATAATGCGATCAGATCCAACAATAGTTAATGTCATATTTTATTTAGATCAAATTTAAGCACTCCGCTGAAATTATGCTTCGTACAATCAAGTTACATAGATATTTAACAATATTGATCAAGTTAGCAAGCACAATAATTTCCCTAAGAAAAAGATTTTCAGAAGCAACATTCTAGTCTTATATCATTTTGAGCTTTGTGGAGCGCTTGTGTATATGAGAGAGAGAGAGAGAGAGAGTGAAAGAGATTATCTTCTTACCACACAACCCAAAGAGCGCATTTGTAATCCTCTTAGATGCATGAAGTCAGTTAAAGTCCGTCCATTAACTGGGGAAAGTTCAAGTGATCTAAAGTCTGTTACCTAAAATCACATATTTTTCACTCCACAAAATCACATATTTTTTCAATATACCTTCTTTAATTTACTTGGGATTCTGAACCCATTTGGTATCATTTGCCATGTTTATTAATTAATTGGTTCACAAAAAAAGCAAAGCCCAGTTGATTTCTAAAAAGCAAAGCAAAGCCCATTGCTTCCACCCAGTTTGGATTTGGACTCCCATAAATGCTACCATGTACAAAAAGAAATTCCAAAACATTTTTGTAGACCTATACTTTGTTCACTTAATAGGGATGCAATTTCTAGGGATGCAATTTCTAAAATTTGCATTGATACACTTAATAGCCGTCATCCCACAATTTCCCAGGATGAAAACAAATTAAGCATAAAAAAGAATCAGGGCCAAGCCCACTTTTAATCTGCAAAATTGCAAATTATTGGATTTAATTCTCAACTTGGTCAAGCCCTCAAGAAAATAAAAAGAAGAAATAAATGTTTGCAACCAACTAATGAGCAGTTCTCTGGAGGGGCTTGGCCAAGTTGAGATTTATTTTGGGGGCTTGGCCAAGTTACAGCTATGGAGCAGTTCTATGTGAAGAAATAAATGTTTGCAACCAACTAATGAAAGCATATGTGAGGTACAGAGAGGTGCAATTTTGCAGATTCTTGGGGGCTTGGCCAAGTTGAGATTTGTTTTGAGGATCCATAAAAAAAAATAAAAAGAAGTCAGCGAACTCTAGATTCCAACTCTGTTGTAATCTCTAAAATCGAAACCGAAGCCTAAAATCGAAGCCTCAACTCTGATTGATACAGAAATTAGCCCTAAAACCGAAGCCATCAACTCTGATTGATACAAAAATTAGCCCTAAAACCGAAGCCTCAAAGAACTGAATAAATGTAAAATACTTCTGATATTGGGAGGGTGGGAGCCGAGAGAGAGTGGGTGTCAATCAATGGCGACAGTGATCATGACCAGCGACGGTGGTGGTGAGCCCTGTTGAGACCACTGTCTCTGTTTGAATCAAATTGTTGGAAGATGTTTCTCTGATCTGCTACCTCTATTAGCCAATTTCAAAAAAGAAAGAATTTCGAACATGAGAGAGAGATCATAGAGGGAGTTGAAGAGAGAATGTGAGAGATAACGTGTAGAGAGGGAGTTGAAGAGGTGTTTGGGCAGACGTGGGAGAGAGAAAGAGAGCAGAGAGTCTTTGGGCGGGAATAAAAGTGATCTCAACCGTTGGATAGTATATAGGAATCATCTCAACCATTAAATCAAAATGTATAGATAATATAATTATATAGATAATATAATCTTCAAAAATAGTTTTGTTTTATTATATAGATAATATAATCTTATATAAGTGTCAGATGCTTATTTCTTCTATATCTAAATCTGAATCGATAATTTTATTATTATAAAAAATAATAATTAATTTTTTTTCTCTCCCAATTTATACATTTCTTAGAAAGATTCAAAATGAGAATTATATCTCCATATTCTCATTTCACCACTGCTATAATATAACTAAAAAATGCAATTTTTTTTCTCCAAAATCACCCGATCTAAATGGGTTGTAAAGTAATTTAGCTTTTAAACCAAAAAACAAATTAAAAATCTCAGTTGAAGAGTGAAAAAGAACTTGTATAAATAATTAAAAAAACAAAACAACCACCAAACTTTCTCCCAATTTATATATTTTTTCAAAAATTCAACATGAGAATTACATCTCCATTTCTGCTCATTTCACCGCTGTCATAAACTAAAAAAGATGCAATTTATTTATTTTTATTTTTTTTTCCAAAATCAACCGATCTAAATGGGCTGTAAAGTAATTTGGCTTTTAAACCACAAAATAATAATAATAATAATAATAATAATAATAATAATAAATAATAATAAATAAATAAAATTTAAAGGCTTTGTATAAAAAACAACCACTAAACTCCCTCAATTTATATAATTTTTGAAAAGATTCAACATGAGAATTACATATCCATGCCTTCTCATTTCACCACTGTTACATACTAAAAAAAAATGCAAATTTTTGTTTTCCAAAATCAACCGATCTAAATAGTCTGCAAACACATTCTTTGGAAGCCCTAAAATTCACAACAAAGACACAGAGTGAGCACAAAACCGTACCGAAGATCATAGAAATGACTCAGTCGGAGTCAAAAACCACCATTTTGATGTTGATCGGGCTTCTCTGGTGCTGCAGCAACGAATCTCCTACTCTTGGTACCTGCAAAGAGACTTGATATCAACACAAAAAAAATGGTGATGTAGAAAAGAAAGCTCTATTGAAATTTGTAAACACGTTTGATATGATATCAAAACAACACAGAGAATAAAGAGAACGATCAAACCTAGATGAAGCCGGCGTCGTGAGAAGCACGGGTGATGAAGGATTGGACGAAACCAATGCCGAAAAAACCGAGGAGGTAGATGAAGGAAGCGATGAGGGAGGCAATGAGGGAGGCGATGGCAGCGAGTTCAGAGAGAGTGATGACGTGGAGAGGGGTGGAGGATCGGATCTGATAGTGCTAACGATGGAGGAGGTAGTAAGCCATAGAGAAGAAAATGTCGTTGGTGAGGGAGAGGTAAGGCATTAGAGGCTTTTGGGAGGAGGAGGATAAGAGAGAATGTGTAGAGCAGATGTGTTTAGACAGATGTGGGAGAGAGAGCAAGGAGTTGTTTGGGCGGGAGATCCATTGATCTGAACCATTGATATAAACTTGGGATTAATCTCAGCCATTGGATCAAAATGTATCTCACATACATTTTATTATTATAGAAAATAATAATTAAATTTTTTTCTTTCCCAATTTATACATTTCTTAGAAAGATTCAAAATGAGAATTATATCTCCATATTCTCATTTCACCACTGCTATAATATAACTAAAAAAATGCAATTTTTTTTTCTCCAAAATCACCCGATCTAAATGGGCTGTAAAGTAATTTGGCTTTTAAACCAGAAAACAAATTAAAAATCTCAGTTGAAGAGTGAAAAAGAACTTGTATAAATAAATAAAAAAACAAAACAACCACCAAACTTTCTCCCAATTTATATATTTTTTCAAAAATTCAACATGAGAATTACATCTCCATTTCTGCTCATTTCACCGTTGTCATAAACTAAAAAAGATGCAATTTATTTTATTTTTATTTATTTTTCCAAAATCAACCGATCTAAATGGGCTGTAAAGTAATTTGGCTTTTAAACCACAAAATAATAATAATAATAATAATAATAATAATAATAATAATAATAATAATAAATAAATAAATAAATTTAAAGGCCTTGTATAAAAAACAACCACTAAACTCCCTCAATTTATATAATTTTTGAAAAGATTCAACATGAGAATTACATATCCATGCCTTCTCATTTCACCACTGTTACATATTAAAAAAAAAATGCAAATTTTTGTTTTCCAAAATCAACCGATCTAAATGGTCTGCAAACACATTCTTTGAAAGCCCTAAAATTCACCACAAAAACACAGAGAGAGCACAGAACCGTACCAAAGATCGTAGAAATGACTCAGTCGGAGTCAAAAACCACCATTTCGATGTTGATCGGGCTTCGCTGGTGCTGCAGCAACGAATCTCCTACTCTTGGTACCTGCAAAGAGACTTGATATCAACACAAAAAAAATGGTGATATAGAAAAGAAAGCTCTACTGAAATTTGTAAACACGTTTGATATGATATCAAAACAACACAGAGAAGAAAGAGAACGATCAAACCTAGATGAAGCCAGCGTCGTGAGAAGCATGGGTGATGAAGGATTGGACGAAACCAATGCCGAAAAAACCAAGGAGGTAGATGAAGGAAGCGATGAGGGAGGCGATGGTAGCGAGTTCAGAGAGAGTGACGACATGGAGAGGGGTGGAGGATCAGATCTGATCGCACTAACGATGGAGGAGGTAGTAAGCCATAGAGAAGAAAATGTCATTGGTGGGGGAGAGGTAAGGCATTAGAGGCTTTTGGGAGGAGGAGGATGAGAGAGAATGTGTAGAGCAGATGTGTTTAGACAGACGTGGGATGGAGAGCAAGGAGTTGTTTGGGCGGGAGATCCATTGATCTGAACTATTGATATAAACTTGGGATTAATCTCAACCATTGGATCAAAATATATCTCACATATATTTTATATATTTTTAAAAAGCCTCTTACCTTATTATATAGATATATTGATAAAGATAATCCTGATAATGTAGAAGATAAATTAGATTAAATTCTTTAAGAAAATTGCTTTAGAGCTCTAAAACAGTAGCTCTAAATTAGCATTAAATTGTCCTTTTCCTTCCCTTATTTTGTCTTTTTCTGTTTTTTTTTTTTTTTTTTTTTTTTTTTTAAGTGGTAGCCAGCTCAGTTTAGAGCTCTCAATCAGAGCCCATTCTTTAAATGTTTGTTTTTCCATAACTTTAGATTTGAATTTGATTTGGTCAATGTTGTCAGCATAATTTTAGCATGGAATTTTGGACATTTGGTGGGATGTGGGACTTCAAGGGTTATTAGAATATAAAAGGGGCCAGATGGTCTATGAGTCCATAAAAGAGGTCCTTTCAAAAAAAATTTCCTTTTAATTGCCAATCTAGTTTTTAATTCGTCTGAAGAAGAAAAACTGAAAACAAATTGAAAACTAAACCAAACTCTGCCATAGTGCAAATGTTAATATAAATTCCTTTCATGAATAATTTTTTTTAAAATAAAATCATTTATATATTTTTAAAATAAAAATAATTTAATTGACTTAATAAATTTAAAAATATTTTTTAATATTTATTTTGGTCAAATAAAATATAAATTAGTTTGACATAAATAATCATTAAAAACATAATATACATCTACATGGGTCTAAGTCCAAACCGTGCATGGCGCAAGTCCAACTTGTGTTAGGTATAATTTCAACCTATGCATGGGCGGATGTGTAACCTGTGCATTGATGCAAGTCCAATCTGTGCACGGTACAAGTCAAACTTATGCATGGATTCAAGAACTTTGTCCTAGTTTTTCTATATTTTTTTTGTATCATATTAAAATAAAAATAATTTATATTTTTGAATATTTTAATAATTTACTAAGAAAGTGTGCAAATTGTATTCACAAGAAATCCGTCCTATTTTCACAATGGTTTTCCCTATCATATTAAAATAAAAATAATTTATATTTCTAAATGTTTTAACTTTTAACAATTTAGTTACAAAGTGTGCAAATTGTTTTCGTTAGACTGAAAAATATATAATGAATTAGGCTTCATTTGGAGTCTATTATAAGCTGACTTATTTATTTGATTTATATGCTAAATGCCTTTGGCAATTGAAATTGATAGGAAGAGATGTTTTGTCAATATGTTTTTGAAAATGAGAAAGGGAAAAAAAAAAAAAAAATTAAATACCACCAAATCAATGAATTTTGAGACTGGGGAAAAAAATAAAAAAAAGTATAACGTATATTGAGACTGGGGAAAAAAATAAAAAAAGTATTACGTATGTGGTTCTATGATTAAAAAAAAAAAAAGATGTATAAAAATGTATATCTAACTAAAGTTTGTGTGTATTTATTAAATTATAAAGAAAATTGCTTTGTTTCTTTCTTTCTTCTTTTATTCTTTTCCCTCCTAGCTAGGCACCAACACTGTAGATATCTTAGTGAGTGTGGATGAAATTTTCTACTTTTGCTTTTGGGTTGTGGATGGATTCTAATGAGAGAGTCCAAAATCTTGGATTTAGTGCATACATGTATGATATCTTCTAGATCCAGTTATCTTCTCATGATGGAAATTTTGAAAATGGTTATAATTGATGGTCAGTCAATACATATGCTTGAACTTACATTATAAAATCCATGCTTAATTAATTTAAGGTTATGGTTAAAAAGTTCTATTTTAGTTATTTTTAGGCATGTTTTATGTTACTTTCTAATGCAATGTTTATAGGGTTATTTATGCTTCATAGGTTGAACTTTAAGGAAATAAAAATGAAAACTTTTTTTAATTTATGTCCGAAGGCCCTAAGGATTTATTACACAAGCAATGTTAGATATCATGAAAAGCATTTCATGAAAATAATCATTAAAGTTTTGTGACTCTTGGATTACACTTAGAATAAAGCACCACACACTAATCAAGGTAATCCAATTATCATAAATCTTTCATAATCATTTTCATGAAAAAAATTTCATGATCCCTAACTTTTCTCATTAACATAATAGTAATGCTAGGTATCATGAAAAGTCTTTCATGAAAATAATCATGAAAGATTTATGATCTTTGGATTACACTTAGAATAAAACACCACACACTAATCAAGATAATTTAAGGATCACAAATATTTCATGATCATTTTCATAAAAAAAATTTCATGATCCCTAACATTTCTCTTAATATAATACATAGAACACTATTGAAAATCTTAAACAAAGTTATTCATCAACTCTGGGCAGGTTTGAAATAAAGCAATGAGAGCAGGAGGAGAATAAAAGTAGGGAGGAGGAGAGAGAGAAGAAAGACACCCCGAAAAGGGCTTGTCTTAATCAGTCAGAGATCGCCAATCGATCGCTGGCCTCTGTCCGCATTGACCACCCTTTGCAGCAGCGATCAATCAGTGACCAAGACAATCAATCTCTATTCCTTCCGCGTGTCTGCGATCGAAACGTCAAAAGTGGCGATCAATCCCCTATCTCCCATGTCTGGTGATCAATCTGTTCTAGGTGGCGATCGATCCCTGGTCGATCGATTCGTTCTGTCCACCCTTCCAAGAAACTTCAAACCCAAAATTATTCGAAGTGTTGGACAACCTCCAAGCCAACTCCACAACTTTCAAATTCCCAACAACAAAAATAAGGATTGACGTGGCTAAACCCATAAAGGCCATAGCCCACTATAAACAACCCAAGCCCATCACTTGGAGCCCAGTACATAACCCAGCTGGTGGAGTCCAGAACAGCTAGAATCCAACATGGCACAAAGAGCCAATGACATTCAGACATATGGTAGGCAAAGGACAAGCCACATCAGCAGACAAAGATCTGCAAAGTTATTGCCACTGCACATCACCATTAATGCAGCCCATCATAGCATTTATTACGACAACACCTCTCCGTCGGAACAGCAGCACCTTACCCTGAACAAGGTAAGTTACAGCATAGACTTTCGGCGAGGAGGGCAAGTCGGAAGGGATAGCGAAATGATTACCAACGGATATAAGCAAACGTTGAAGACAAGAAGAAGGTTAAGCTTTCTATCTCCAATCTCTCTCTCTACATTCTACTTCCTCTATTAACTTGCTCGTTGGAGGGTTCACTGGGGGACTATCCCGTTCCCCGTTGAACTTGTTTGTAGGTTATCTGGTGGGCTTGATCATTCGGACGTGGGCTTGAGGAGCTGGGATCAGTCCGATCCATCCCTTGGAACAAACCGTATTATCAGTCCGATCCATCCCTTGGAACAAACCGTATTTCCCCTCGCAAGGGCACACATGCCCTTGCATATAAGGCACGTGTAGAGCCCACACTTCTAGTTGGGTTCAACTCTGATACCATTTGTAATAACCCAAGTAGCCTATTGGCCCAACAACTTGAATGGAGTGGGTTTACCAACATGGCCCAAAATGCTTAAGCCCAAATTGTTTGTATTTGTCCACTTGGTTCATTATATACCAAACCAATGTTTGGTATTTTATTGATGTCGGATGTCACAATTCTCATTGTAACTACCATGAACTCTTTTAACTTCCCTTTCGATAGCACTTCTGGCTTTTTAAAAATACATTTAATCAAAGAACCATCACTTTTGTCAACATTAGGAGAAATAAGATAACCCCAATCCCCACTACACCCTTAATTATTCCAACTAAAGTTAAACTAGAAACTACCAAATCGAGCCTAACTGATATAAACTAGAAACTACCAAATGAAGCCAAACTGATACCATGCTTGTAACTACGAAGGATGTATAATCACAAGGAAGTAAAAAATCGTTAACAAATAACACACTTCATATTATTAGTCACTTGGATCTGTCCATTACATCACCAGGGAGCTCCTTATACAGACAAAGGGAGAGCTTTACGACAAACATGCTACAGAAAGATAGATAGGATTGCTAGAGTCTGTTGTACCAAGACCACAAGGGCCTTGTCTGCCAGCTGACGCTTGACGACAAGACATTTTTATTACAGATATTGTTTACTCATATTCGCAATATGCACCATCACACTCACACTCACACTCATATCTCATACACACTCATATCTGACAGACAGATAAGATACGAATACAATACAACACAGACAACCAACAGCTTATTCGAAACATGTCACCCACTCTTTGTCACATAAGACTGACATTTTAAAATTCATCATGGTCACGGTCAGCGTCAGGTTTAGTGTGATTATGAACGTCAAGACCATGATTTTTGCGAGGCAAGATGGTACTTAAAGAGGGCCAATTAGCAACGATGTTCTTCACACCGCCAATGATTTCATCTTTTTTAAAGTTGATAAGTGCGTAAGAATCTTCTTTGAATAGGTACGCCTCATCAGTCTTGTGTGAAGCAAACGCTGCCTGAATTCCACTTTTAAAGGTGGTGTCTTTCAAGCTAGCAAACCGTTCAGTGATCAGGCCGCTGACGATGACGTGGGCATCAGAATCGTAGTTTATAAGAGCATACTGGTCGTCTTTGAAGAGGTAAGCTTCATATCTTGTAGTGGCCTCAAATGCGGCGTCTATGCCGCTTTCGAACTTGAACTCTTTCAAGAAGGGGAACATCGCAGCGATGGTGGTCGGGCCTTTGATTATCCAGTCATTTAAGGTGCCTGGTGCGTAGTTAATTTGTGCACAGAGATTCCCAGAGAAAATGAAGGCTTCATTCTTATTATGAGACCCAAAAGCAGAGTCTATTTCATGTTCTGCAAAGGCTGTCCCAGAGAGGGATGGAAACCCATCACGGATGAGAAGCGGTCCGTTCAGCACGGTGTCATCTGTCGAGCCCGGAGCGTAGTCCACTTTCACATACTCATTTTTCATGAATAGATAGGCTTGATTTGAAGTAGAGCAACGGAATGCAGCGTTTATGTAGCTCGCCAAGTCAGACACATTGCCTGCATACCAATTAATGTTGGGGTCAGAGTTGGCAGACACTTGTCGTTTCTCTCGCTTGGACGAGGAGGAGGAGACGACACGGGGTTTGTAAATGTTAATCCTTAGAAGCGCCCTTGTTTCCTCTGGATTCTGGCTCTCTAGATTTACGTAATCAAATATTGGCCTCCTAATGTCGAGCAACCTTGATGGATGTGATTGTGGATCATAATTTCCATTTACTCGTAATAAATCATTTACTCTCTCCCGGATTGTATACCTGCATGCAACGTCGCACGAGTGTTGTAACATAAGCCCTCAATTTTCACTTTGGAATATAGAGTATGAATCAGTTCTTTCTATCACTAATAAGATTAAATTTAAAGTTGTGATGTGTAAAAGGGCTAACCTGGAGCCGGTTGGCACCGTAAGCCTGAAGAGTTGGGCAGACCGAATGTACTGAGGGGCAATGCCAGCAACAAAGCAGACCTCGTCTTGGCTGGGGTAACCGTATTGATCACGGAGAGTCTGAGCAACCCAAATGCCACCGGGAGCAAATATCTCGTATCGATATACTTCCCTCCAAGTCTCAGGGGCGACGAGGCTGGGATGCCAAGTGCTGCTAAGCGTGGTGCTAACAAAGGCATGGATAGTGGGCCTGCTGGAATCAAGAGGCCTACCGCTGTTGTGGACGAAGTCATTTAGATTGTAGTAGACCTCGTCGGAAGTGTCTTGTTGACGCCTTGCTTGAAATCCATTCTCAAAGACCTCCTGAAACGGGGTAGAATCCCAACGATAGACATGGCGGAGTATGTCTGCCTCTCTTCTGCTGCTTCTGTACACAATGTCAGGCAAAGGGGGATCTGCGATACGACAATTGACGTCGCAAACAGTCCTTACTAATCTTTCTGCTTCACGCTCGTCTTCTTCATTGACAGGTTGAGGGAAGTTTGCTGCACATCCTCTCCCTGGTGAATCGGGCTCGAACGGCATTCTCTTCTTCTTCTCTTACCTGTAAATTAATTTAAAAGTGATGTCATTGCCAGCATTCCTTTTCAATTAAAAGAAATAAATCAAAATGGGCAACAAACATCGATCACCAAATACCATGCTATGATCAAATTATCAACATGATAAAAGTTCAACCCATCAACACAAAGACAGTAACATAAAACTACATCACCTTAATCAGAATAGAAGCCAACAAACTTTGGTGCTCAATGAAAGGAGAGGCCTTTGGGATAGAATTGATAGATAGAGACTTGTCTTCACACGATGAGGAAACCTGAGGGACTAGGGGATATATGTAGTGTACATCATGAAGAATTCTTTGAGTCATCAGAATAAAAGATAATACAATTCTTTCATGGCAAGGCATGTAATTCTCAACAATATGGCTCATTTAAAAAAAAAAAAAAGAAAAAAAGAAAGGAAAAAAAAAAAAAGAATAATACAATTCAAACTTTTTCAAGTGTGAGATGCCAAACTGAGAAGCTGTGTTTAGATAATCAAGATGTTGTCTTTAATTGTGGAGTCACCCGTGGACCCTACCTTGAAAAATGCCTACTTGTTAAGTCATTGTGCCCCTAAAGCCAAAAATTAGGGTAATCAAGATGCTGTCCTTAATTTTATCCACCAAGTTAAGTATCTACTACCTTGCTTTTATAACCATGCAACCTTGGCATTCAAAAATCTGTTCCATTTAAAAATGGTGCTTTACACACTCACATTGATGTGCAATGTAAGTGTTTTGTCATTTGTTTAGGGTTTCTAGCATTTTTCTACCTATAATGGATCTTTCTATAAACTTCAAAACTTCTACCAAATAAACTACCAAACACTTATAATGAAGTATGGGTCTCATACCTTATTGTGAGTGTTTGGTCATTTATTTGATAGAAGATTTGAAATTTCTAACATTTTTAATAATCACTACAAGAATTTACACATTTGGCGACCACTTTTGCCGACCAAAAAATTTTTGGTCGCAAAAAAATGACATTTGCCGACCAAAATATTAATTAGTCGCGAATGATCAATATTTTGGCGACCAAAATGAGTTAGTCGCAGAAGGTCACATTTTGGCGACCAGAAATGAGTTAGGCGCAGAAATTGGTATGCTTTTGGCGACCAACTTCAAATTTGGTTGCGGAATGTTACATTTTGGCGACCAAAAAAATTTAGTCGCCAAATTTGTACTTTTAGCGACTAATATTTTAGTCGCAATTGATTGAGATTTAGCGACTAAAAAAATTTGTTGCCGAAGGTTGCTTTTTTGCGACTAATGTGGTGTTTTGGTCGCCAAAAGTGTTTGGGAGGGAAATTTCAAACAGGGAGGGGGGAAATGAAATTTTTTGGTGACAAAAAAAATTTGGTCGCCAAAGTAAAAACGACGTCGTTTTGTACCTGGAAAAAAAAAATTAAAAGAAGGCCCTGATCTCCTCTATCTCCTACTCTCCCTCTCTCTGTGTTCTCTCTCTCAATCGGCTTGGAACTGCTCAAGAATTGCAGCCAATTCCAGTCCAGATTCCAACATTTCTTCCTCAATCTTCTCTCTCGTCTCCTGATCCTCGGCCCTGGCTAGACGAGTACACCACACAATCTTCAATCGGTTCTGCAACAAACACTTAACAAGGCTGAAATTATCGAATTGGAGATGACCCAAAAGCTTGGTCTCAACTTTAAGATCATCATCATCAAAACCATTCTGTTCTTCTTCCTCGTCAAACACAACAGTAAAACCCACATTATCATCAATCATAACATTGTCTTCTTCTTCTTGGAAATCAGTGATTAGGTTCCCAAAGGAAACCATCTGATCGAAATCATGATTCGACATAGGGTTCAACAATTTCTCAATCTCCTCCCTCTTGTTGGGGTTATTGTTCTTCAAAACACCCAAAACCTCATCAGCGGCGGCGGCGACTGTTCCGGGAGGCTGACCACTGCCCAATTGCTGCTGTACGAGGCTAAGGTTACGACATGACTTATTTTCATTTTGTTTTGTTTTTCCTCAAATTTTCATTTTGTTTTTTTGTTTTTCCTCAGCAATCAAACAGAGGGTTATATTGTCTTAAGGTTCTTGGGAAATTCTTGATTTATCAATTGTTTATGTTGTTTTATTTTATTATTGTTGCTGGTGAACAACTTTTTTCACTTGGTAAATTGTTTAGAAACAGCAGGTAGAGTGTTGTTTTTGTATTTAATGGACAAATTCATGATAGAGCCTAGCCTTGGCAGATTATACATCTAGAAAGTAGAATTAGTGGGAAGGTGCTTAGTGCTCACAATTCGGTCATTAGCCAACTGCGATTTCTTTTTATATGTTGTGTAGGTGCATAGAGATGAATTTTTTTACCTTGTTCTTTAGTGTAGTTAACAGTGTTGTTGGCTCCTCATATTGATGCACTTTATGGATGATTCATTAATTAAACAGGCTTATATAACAATCTTAACTCATGACATCACGAGCTTTGACGAGAAGACTCCACCATGGGGATGTCGATGGGAAAAATACTTGTGAAGGAAATTTGTTTGTTAAGGTAACTCGTTAAGGAAATTCATATTGATGCACTTTATGGATGATTCATTAATTAAACAGGCTTATATAACAATCTTAACTCATGACATCACGAGCTTTGACGAGAAGACTCCACCATGGGGATGTCGATGGGAAAAATACTTGTGAAGGAAATTTGTTTGTTAAGGTAACTCGTTAAGGAAATTCATATTGATGCACTTTATGGATGATTCATTAAGGTAACTCGTTTGTTAAAACTCAAATTTGAACATACTTGTGAAGGAAATTCATGATCGATTTTGGTATCACATCAGTAGGTGGTGAAAGATGTGAGGAATCTGTGACTTGCAATCTATCTACAAAGCAAAATGACATTAGGGTTCCAAATATCCTCAACTAACCTTTGGAAAGAATATTTGTTTGGGATACATTGATTTTGGTTTTTTGACATAAAATGTATGATTATGTGATTGAAATCTAGGTGGGCTTGCTGGTTTCTATTGTATGGAGTCATTGGCAATAATTATTAATTAAACTGCCTGGAATTTTGGACGGACTATTAATTTGGATGTCCTGGATTAGACTCTCTTGGTATTGTGCTTGAACTTAATGATACACGTGATTTGTTGGTAACTAACTATTTGGGTTAGTGTTAATGGATAAGATTAACACTAAATGTTGGCAGAGATATGCTTTTAGGACGGTGCACAGTGAGCATTCCCTTTTGACATTGTTGATTAGTGCTTTTAATTTGTTTTACAAATTAGAGAGAGGTTGCTTTAGCCATTAGTTTATGCAATGTCCCAGGTGCTAAAAAGAGAAAATTGGACTAGTGTGGAAGCCATTTACTTGGTACAGAAGGATATGGGGATCTACACCTAGGATTGAGTAAAGCCATGTTTTCACGAAAAGTTTTGTCTAATGTGGCTCAGTTGTAAATGAGTTGAGTTTTGAGTTGTTTAAATGAAGTTGAGTTTGAGTTATTTGGGTTTTTTATTTATATTTTTTAAATATATATAGGTTTTCATTTTTTATTTTTTTAAATATATATATAGTTTTATGGTGAAAGTTAAGCTTAAAAAATTCATGAGTTTTAAAATATGTTCAAATCTGACTTAATTATATGATAAGCTTAAACGAATTTTTAACGATTTAATGTAAGTTGAACTCGAGTTAGCGATCCTACCCTACAGAAATGCTAATTGCACCATGGGAGAGATTTATAACTCTTAGTCTCATATGTTATTTTTACCAATCAAACATAGCCATCACTTTAAACAGACTTGGAAAATTAATTAGTATACAAATAGATGATGTGATACAATTTTATAATTTTGAAATGATAATATTATAATATTGTGAAACCAATATATTGTGAACCAATATATTGTGAACATTCATATCTAAAATTGTCTTCCTTTTCTCTGCTGCTTCTTTCTCTAGCTATACTTGTACGACATCACATATCTCTACCGGTTGGCATAATTGAATTTATTAAGGATATGTGCTGTGCTTGTGTAGTTCAATATCATAATCATCATTAATCAATTTATATATGTTGTGTGTTGTCAATAAACTAAAGCTGCTGAATTGGCAGTATAAGCTGGGTAAGGTTATTGGACTCAGCGCCTACGGTATTGTTCAAAAAGGTCTTAATCTTGAGACTAATCAAATTGTAGCAATAAAGAGACTGCATACTTTTTTTTGACTGCAAAAATGGTGTCCCATATGCAACAATCCTGGAAATCTTTATGCTGACAGAGATGGATCACATAAATATTGCCAAGTAAGTTATTTCTTTGGAGTTCTGATTAAAAAAAAACCGATTAAGGTTTCCTTGATCAATGTAATCTGCCAATCAATGGCAAAGAAGCGGTTGAGGCGTCATTTAAAATATTTGCTCCTCGGGGTATTAGTAAGTACATGATTTTAATGCATGTTACCCTGTTTATCTGCATGAGCATGTAATCTACCAATCAATGGCTCTCAATTAGGACTGACCTTAAGCCTAGTGTGGGCCTCTGATTTGATCACTGAATTTGCTGTCGTTATGATGGCCCATGCCAATGAGGTTCAAAAAAAAAAAAAAACTAGAGAAACTAACATCAATCTTGCCTAACACAAAAGACAACTCTAAACTTCAAATGGTTTTGCTTGGGAAGTTTTCTTGTTCCACACAAGGGCAAAAAAATTAATTAAAGATCAGGATTTGAACATCTAACGTCTTCAGAATTCAGCTATAGAATGGTTTAAAAAATGGCTTGATACGGTACATATAATTAATTAACTTGCATCTGTTTGAAGTCAGTCATCTCAGTTAAGTTTAGATTAATCATGTCTTCATCTCATAACCTCACTGCCTATATATTTTTTTTAGCAACATCAATGTGGATTAAATCACTCCTTCTTATAGATGCATTAACTATTTATGTTTCACTAAAAGAACGAGATAGAAAGAAACCAAGGCAGGGAATTATTACAACACTTTGAATAAATTATTACAAACCAAATAAGAGAGAGAAAAAGGAATATTACAACCAAAAAAAAAAAAAAAAAAAAGGCTGTGTGCAATCCAAGAAAAAGAGAGAGAGAGAGAGAGAGAGAGAGAGAGAGAGTGAGGCAGGAGAGCGGAAAGAGGGAGACTAAGGCCGCACCTTTAGCTTCCCTTTAGTAGCCGCAGTTCGTGAATCAACCCACAAAAGCCTTCAATACACAAATTAGGGTGCGCCATCCCGTCAGATGTAGTTTGAATGTAAAATTATAAATTAAATGGTTGATTTATTACCTGTTGAACTGTTAACGTAAGATAATTAGAGAGGTTTATAGGTTCATCAAAAATCTTATTTTTATAATTTAAATTATTTGTTTTTGTAAGATTTTCAATATATAATATTCATGAAAATAATTCAATAATGGTAGCTTTTTTATTTTATTACATTTGTCTCTGAAAAATAGATAATAGATATATTTTTAAAATAGATCATATATTTTTTTGGAGACAAAATGTTATAAAATGAAAATGTTATGATTATCAGACTGATTTAAATTTTTTTATGGATATTATACATTGAGATCTTTACAAAATGAACAATTTAAATTATCAAAAAATGACTCGTGGGCCCTATAGGCCCCTCAAGTTTTCTTATGTTGATATCTCAACATGAGAAAAAAAACCCAAACCTAAATTAAATTATGAATAACGGATTAATAAATAATTAAATTGTGAGTTGGGTTCAATTTATTAGTTAATTGAAAAATAATGTTAAATAATTATTAAGTATTTGCATAATATATAATATTAATTTGCATAATATTTTTCATATATAATACTAACTAATTTTACGTAAAATATTAATTTATAACAAATTTAAATCTTTCATATTTATTTTTATTTTGATATTTTATTAAAGGTTAAAAAACGTAGAGCGTGGCAATTTTAAACATAAATTTTAAATCGCGATTTAAATTCATCTTAATTAGCAGACGGATTAATATTAATCGATACAATTTTAATGGATTAGGTAGTATTTTGTATAGGCCAGTACTGAGAACTACCTCCACTCCACCTCTGCTTTCTGGTGAGCTCTCTCTCTCTCTCTCTCTCTCTCTCTCTCTCTGTTTTTGCAGTGTTTTTACTCTGATTTCAGTCACGATCAGTTCTATTCAATCAACACGTTCAGGTACTAATTTCAATTCCCCCCACAAAATCATGTATTTATTTGTATAGACATAGCAATTATTTACTTGGAATTCAGTCAACCCAGTGCAGATTTTCCATTGAAATTGTTCAAATTGTTTGCAGATTAGTACCAAGATTAACTTAGTTAATATACTCATCTAATCATCAAACGATCTGCTGTTTTTATATGATTATAAGCGTGTAGTTCAATTCTATTGTATTGGGTCAATTTTTTCTATTTTAATTATTACCTTTTCATTTTCAATTTGAAGCCCTTTTAGTTTGGTACTAATCTCTTTCCCATAAATGGAGATGTTAAACAGATTCATGCTTTTATAGTTGTAGATATTTTTAAATTTTTTTTTCCTTTTATATATATTTTTGTGAGATTGTTTGAATTGCCAGGTACCGGAATGTGTAATTATTTTTATTTTTTTAATTGAAGAATTATTTACACATTGCATCGAAATAACATGTTGAAATCTTGTGAGTATTTAATGGTCCAATATAGTATGGGAGCCGCTATTCTCACTTCATTTTGTTCTAAATACACTCTCTTATTCGCTCCAAATACATTAATACCCTTGAAATTTTGATTTTTTCAGGGAGTTTATTTTGTGTGAAAGTGTATTAATGTAATTATGTATAATAAAAGACAAAGAAGGGAGTGTATTTAGAGCAAAGTGGGGTGGAAATAGCAGCTCCCTATAGTAATCAATTCATTCTAAGGACTTGATATACTTAGGCTTTGTTTGGATCATGATAGGGGTAGGGATTTGGAAAGAGAAAGAAAAGAGTGTGTGAAATGTGGATGAAATATGTATTTGGATTATGGATTTGAAAAGGAAAAAGGAAAATACGAGTGATAATGTGAATGAAATATAGTTATATTTTACCAACCTTTCACATACATTTTCCTTCTCTCTTTCCAAATTCCTACCTAAATTCATGATCCAAATAAAGTCTCAAGTAATTATACTAAACCTACAAATGGATGGAAAATTTGGAAATGATGGGAAGGATTTGCAAATTTTGGTAACCATATTGACTCTCGCTCCATTAACACTCTCAAGTATAGTATTTAATTAATTGATTTTTAAATAATTGTACTATGGACTGGGTTACTTATTACTGGAATGTTAGAGTCAGCTAGTGGGGGCTGTGTTTTCAGAAAAAATGGCATCAGAACCGGTCAATGTGAATGAGTTCCAGGAACTGGCAAGGCGAGCTGTTCCGAAGATGTACTTTGACTTCTACAATGGGGGAGCTGAGGACCAACACACGCTAAGAGAGAACATGGAAGCGTTCCGTAGAATCACGTTAAGTGTTGTTACACCTCTTATTCTTATTAGCGAACAGGGACACCAACTTACGCCATTTTTTATTTATTTTTTATTTATTTTTGGGATTTTCTCAGTTTTCAGCCAAGAGTTCTTGTAGATGTGAGCAGAATAGATATGTCAACCACTATATTGGGTTACCCAACTTCGGCACCAATCATGATCGCTCCAATTGGATTGCATAAGTTGGCTCGTGCTGAAGGTCTAATTTCATTTAGAAGGGATTTTGAGTGAAATTTATGTGTACTTATGATTTCAGCTTTGAATTTTTAAATTTTTTTAAAAATATTTTTTATCAGGAGAGGTTGCAACAGCCAGAGCAGCTGCTGCATGTAACACCATCATGGTATTGATACTCTCATACTCTAATTCCTTTTTACTTTTCATTGTTGATTGCTGAGCTGTCCCTCATTACAGGCAATGTCCTTTTCAGCTGACTGCACCGTGGAGGAGGTTGCTTCCAGTTGCAATGCCATTCGCTTTTTTCAAACATATGTATTCTACTCTCTTCAGCTCTAGTTAACTTAAGTTTCTTCATAGGAATCTTTATCGTTCTTTAGGATTCACAGTTTGGTAATCCTCTGTTCATAGGTATATAAAAGAAGGGATGTAACAGCTGTGTTAGTGCAAAGAGCCGAAATAAATGGGTTCAACGCTATTATGCTTACTGTTGATACCCCTAGGCTTGGTCGAAGGGAAGCAGACATTAAGAACAATTGAAATTTCATTTCCTTCTCTTTCATATAATTTCCGCTACTAATACCTTCAATGTCCTTCACATTAATGAATAATTTTCTCCCTCAAATATTTGGAAATTCACTGATATTTATTATCTATAATTAAATGAACTTTTCCCCATGCATCACGTTAATAATCCAAACACAATCACTTGTTCAGAATGATTGCACCTCAGCCGAAGAACTTAGAAGGTCTCTTGTCAACTGAAGCAGTTTCGGTGAGTTATTTGTTTCCTAATATATGCATTTAAACGTGCTTGCAGACAGTGTATTAGTTGTTTTTTGTGTTAGTTGTATGATACATGGTTGCATATTTCTCTAATACTAGCTGTAACCAGTCTGATACAAGATTTACAACTCTAACATAGATTACTTATTTTGCAGGATAATGGCTCAAAGCTTGCAGCTTTTACAGTAGAGACGCTTGATCCTTCTCTGTGTTGGAAGGTATAAACCATAGAGCAATAGTCTATGTGTGTTAACTGATAATTTGACTTCACAGTTAACTTTTGTTGAAGGTGTTACTCTTGAGCCAAACATTTCCTTTGCTTAGAAACATCATTTGAAAAGCTGTTTTAATTGTACTGCTATATATATATATATATATTATTGTAGTAGTCATATGTTTTAGGGACAAATTACAATCCTAGTCCCTATAGTTTACGCCTTGTGACAATTTAATCTATGTAGTTTCAATTGCAACAATTTTATCTTTTAATTTTCCATTTTGCATCTAATTGGTCCAGTTGGTAATGATGGTCAAGATTTTTTGACAGAAGATAGCCCACATGCTCTTCATGTGCCCATTCTTCATAGGCAAAATGGAAAAATGAACAAAAATTTTATTACACAGGTGGTCCATGTAGTTTGCCCGTTGTGTCAATTTGGTCCCATTTTTGTTAAAAATAGTCTACAGTTATCAATTGGAAATATAGGGGCTACTACAATAATCTATCTGTGTTTTAGTCATTTGGAACTATAGGGACCGAATTGGCATAAAGGTGCGTGTGTTTTAGTCATTTGAGGTCTCTCACAAGGTCACACAGTTGATGGAGCTGAAAGCCACCGCCAAAAATATTTCTGTTGGTGTGGTTGCATACTTAAAATAATTGATTTTTTGGATGGTAAATACAGAAGTCATCAAGGTCATAAATTGATTTCCTTTATGTTAAATCTTATTCAAAACTTTGCAGGACATAGACTGGTTAAGGTCTGTCACTAGTTTGCCAATTCTAGTCAAAGGGGTCCTGACAGCTGAGGATGGTAAGCTCATGACTCTGTTTAGATGTTTGTATCTCTCTAATTTTTCTTTTTGACTTTATAAATGAGAGAACCTCTTCACAGGAGCTGAAAAATCAGTCAAAGTTTTTTTTTTTTTTTTTTTTTCAAAATCAATGTAAGGGCCACAAAACAAAAAACCATTAAATTTGAAGAATTTCTTGTTTTTATGTTTATTTCTAGAAGGAATAGCTATATAGGACCCCTATATTTTTGGATAATATGAGCTTTAGCAAACCCATTTATAATTTTCTTGTTTCATAGGTCTTGAATATTTCTTGTTTTCTACTCATGTTTATTTGTGAGAAACAAAAATTGCTGATGATCTGGTATGCTACTCTTGGCAGCAATAAAAGCTATGGAAGTAGGGGTTGCTGGGATTGTTGTAGTGAAGTTTGTTGAGGTTTTATTATCTTTGTTCGGTAGTGCTGTTTCATAGTGACATAATTTTTCTTTGTTCCCAGAAACATTTGAAGTGGCTAAAACAATATCGATGGGGCCATCATTGAAAAGTGGATCAAAAGTTGGGAAAAGTGGATCAAAAGTTCACGAACCAGACGAGCAAATATTTTTGGATGGATGTGTATGGATAACAAATATTAGTAGTTTTGATTTGTTGATAGCTGTGCATGGATAACAAATAGTTATGTTTCAAATTGTTATGCTACATGGATGTGACTTGTGAATGAAAACTTAGAATAGTTGTATTGTGTCGAATGTTAATGAATTATGTATTGTGTCGAATGCTAATGAATTATGTATTGTGTCGAATGTTAATGATTCAGTTAATTTGAATGATGCTTTAAAATTATAGGTTTATTATGGATTGATTGAATTATAAAATGATTACAGGTGTATTGTTTTCCTGCTTTGACGACCAATTTATTAGTCGCGACATCCAAAATTATTTTTTTTTGTAAAAAATGACAATTGCCGATCAAGAATTTTGGTCGCAAAAAATACATGTATTGCCGACCAAAACAGCTCTTGGTCGTGGAATCTCACTTTTGCCGACCAAAAGTTTTGGTCGCAAAAAGACACAAATGGCGACCAATTTTTTTGGTCGCAAAATGTAATAATTGGCGACCAAAAAATTTGGTCGCGAAATGTAATAATTGGCGACTAAGAAATTTGGTCGGGAAAATATCACTTTTCGCGACCAAAGTGTTTTGGCGACAAAATAAATTAGTCGCGGTAATTAAATATTTAGCGACCAAAAATTTAGTCGGCAAAATCCAACTTTTGCCGACCAACCATAATTTTGGTCGCGAATTACTTTTGCCGACCCTCAATTGGCGACCAAAGTAGCGACCAAAAAATTTGGTCGCGGATAACTTTTGCCGACCAAAAATAGACTTTTAGCGACCAATTTTTTTGTTGCTAAAAGTGTTAATTCTTGTAGTGTCCGTCAGCCGACGCTAAACAACAAGACATCTTTATTACAGATACTGTTTACTCACATGCGCAACTTGCGCTATTACACTTACACTCGTATGTCACACACACTCATATCTGATGGATAGATAAGATACAAATACAAATACAAATACAATATAGACAACCGTCAACTTTTGAAGCATGTCATCCACACTTTGGCACATAAGACCGACTTGACTTTTTAAAGTTCATCATGGTCACGGTCAGCGTCCGGTTTAGTGTGGTGATCGTGAAAATCAAGACCACGATTTTTGCTAGGCAAGATGGTACGCAAAGAGGGCCAATTGGAAAGGATGTCCTTCATGCCACCAATGATGTAGTCACTACAGGAAAAGGGGGATTTGGTGGCGTTTTGTTAACGACGTTTCTGTAAACGTCACTGTTATTAGTATTTAACGGCGTTTTATAAAAATTAAGCTAGTTGTGCTGTCTTCAGAATAGTTGTGCTCTCTTAAGCTAATTAAGCTAGTTGTGCTGTCTTCAGAATAGTTGTGCTCTCTTAAGCTAATTAAGCTAGTTGTGCTGTCTTCAGAATAGTTGTGCTCTCTTAAGCTAATTAAGCTAGTTGTGCTGTCTTCAGAATAGTTGTGCTCTCTTAAGCTAATTAAGCTAGTTGTGCTGTCTTCAGAATAGTTGTGCTCTCTTAAGCTAATTAAGCTAGTTGTGCTGTCTTCAGAATAGTTGTGCTCTCTTAAGCTCATTAAGCTAATTAAGCTAGTTGTGCTGTCTTCAGAATAGTTGTGCTCTCTTAAGCTAATTAAGCTAGTTGTGCTGTCTTCAGAATAGTTGTGCTCTCTTAAGCTAATTAAGCTAGTTGTGCTGTCTTCAGAATAGTTGTGCTCTCTTAAGCTAATTAAGCTAGTTGTGCTGTCTTCAGAATAGTTGTGCTCTCTTAAGCTAATTAAGCTAGTTGTGCTGTCTTCAGAATAGTTGTGCTCTCTTAAGCTAATTAAGCTAGTTGTGCTGTCTTCAGAATAGTTGTGCTCTCTTAAGCTCATTAAGCTAATTAAGCTAGTTGTGCTGTCTTCAGAATAGTTGTGCTCTCTTAAGCTAATTAAGCTAGTTGTGCTGTCTTCAGAATAGTTGTGCTCTCTTAAGCTAATTAAGCTAGTTGTGCTGTCTTCAGAATAGTTGTGCTCTCTTAAGCTAATTAAGCTAGTTGTGCTGTCTTCAGAATAGTTGTGCTCTCTTAAGCTAATTAAGCTAGTTGTGCTGTCTTCAGAATAGTTGTGCTCTCTTAAGCTAATTAAGCTAGTTGTGCTGTCTTCAGAATAGTTGTGCTCTCTTAAGCTCATTAAGCTAATTAAGCTAGTTGTGCTGTCTTCAGAATAGTTGTGCTCTCTTAAGCTAATTAAGCTAGTTGTGCTGTCTTCAGAATAGTTGTGCTCTCTTAAGCTAATTAAGCTAGTTGTGCTGTCTTCAGAATAGTTGTGCTCTCTTAAGCTAATTAAGCTAGTTGTGCTGTCTTCAGAATAGTTGTGCTCTCTTAAGCTAATTAAGCTAGTTGTGCTGTCTTCAGAATAGTTGTGCTCTCTTAAGCTAATTAAGCTAGTTGTGCTGTCTTCAGAATAGTTGTGCTCTCTTAAGCTCATTAAGCTAATTAAGCTAGTTGTGCTGTCTTCAGAATAGTTGTGCTCTCTTAAGCTAATTAAGCTAGTTGTGCTGTCTTCAGAATAGTTGTGCTCTCTTAAGCTAATTAAGCTAGTTGTGCTGTCTTCAGAATAGTTGTGCTCTCTTAAGCTAATTAAGCTAGTTGTGCTGTCTTCAGAATAGTTGTGCTCTCTTAAGCTAATTAAGCTAGTTGTGCTGTCTTCAGAATAGTTGTGCTCTCTTAAGCTAATTAAGCTAGTTGTGCTGTCTTCAGAATAGTTGTGCTCTCTTAAGCTCATTAAGCTAATTAAGCTAGTTGTGCTGTCTTCAGAATAGTTGTGCTCTCTTAAGCTAATTAAGCTAGTTGTGCTGTCTTCAGAATAGTTGTGCTCTCTTAAGCTAATTAAGCTAGTTGTGCTGTCTTCAGAATAGTTGTGCTCTCTTAAGCTAATTAAGCTAGTTGTGCTGTCTTCAGAATAGTTGTGCTCTCTTAAGCTAATTAAGCTAGTTGTGCTGTCTTCAGAATAGTTGTGCTCTCTTAAGCTAATTAAGCTAGTTGTGCTGTCTTCAGAATAGTTGTGCTCTCTTAAGCTCATTAAGCTAATTAAGCTAGTTGTGCTGTCTTCAGAATAGTTGTGCTCTCTTAAGCTAATTAAGCTAGTTGTGCTGTCTTCAGAATAGTTGTGCTCTCTTAAGCTAATTAAGCTAGTTGTGCTGTCTTCAGAATAGTTGTGCTCTCTTAAGCTAATTAAGCTAGTTGTGCTGTCTTCAGAATAGTTGTGCTCTCTTAAGCTAATTAAGCTAGTTGTGCTGTCTTCAGAATAG